TAAGAATATTAGGCAAGATGACTGTTTCACGTCTTCTTGTCTTGTTCAGTCTAGTTATTAAACGATCCTATTGTTCACAGTACAAAAGCACATTGTTTACTCTATCAGTGAAGTACTCACACACGAAAATCGAAAGCAAATATATGTAAGTGATCAAATCTGTGATAATTCAACAAGCAATCCTTGACAGACCGCGAACACATGAGAAGTCGTGAAAAACACATGCATTTTGGCTTGCTTTTTCACAAAGAATATGTTTTCACTATTTCCGAAACAAACAAACCAGTTAGAAATTTACACATTAGTCTTATAAGCCTGCAAAGGAATCTTTGAGCTTATATTTACACTTGCTTCATACGAATAAGGACAAATTATGATAATGTTGGCACTCCTGCAGGTGAACAAAAAGTCACCGAAATAGGGCATGCTTCGCGAAAGTGAAGATTTCCGTGTTTGTCGTCTATAGAAAAAGTAATAGTCGTCTTTTATCTCAATACGTTCGTGCGATCCCGCGTTTGATTCACTCGAAATTCGTTGTTTTTGTATGAAGAGTCAAATTTTTCTGCATTTTTTGTAGTACGCCGACGACCGTACTCTCAAACCATTTGGAACTTTATATAATGCACACCATACGCGCTAAATGACGACATGTATAAATAGAACCTGATCTTTTCCAGCAGATTCTTCTTGGTTTTTTTTACTATCGGTTTGATTGGATAAGCATCAGATAGTAGTACACATTTTAGTACATTGCCACGCTAGAAAATGTTTTATTAAGGGCCTACCAATGAGAATGTCGTCATTTATCAAGAAAAATAGAGAAATTGTTAACCAATCTCACTTAAAAGTTCAAAACGACGAATGCGAAGCTCTACGATAGGACCAAATACAAGGATGTACAAGGAAGATAAAAAGAACCTTCGTTAGCACAATGCGATGATCAAATGTGCTTGACATTGAATCGTTAAGTAAAAGACTCATTGCCATCAATGGCAGATCATAGTTTGATTGGCGTAGGTCAAGTTTTCCGTATTTGGGTGGTATTTCGCTTCGCCGAAAGTCAATCAAGAGGCTTATTCAGATCATCACGCTCACTAAGATACAATATTTGTGAAAACTTCTCACAATCAGATTTTCTATTTGAACACCACTATCTTATGAAATACATAGATAATTTTCTTGATTGTATATCGAGAGTGTCTGATTTGATTCGTGGTCTTAATCCTATGCCGCCACTATTTTATAGAACGTTCAAGTTTATGCGCATGCAGTCGGTTGAGGGGTTCCGCTTATAAAACTGTAATAAGGTCCAGAGGTAGTTGCGTGCTAACTTCTGCAAAAATTTTGAAAGATGCCATGGTTTTCTTGAACGGCATTTAAATCGAAAGAGGAGTGTTCAAAGTAAAAAAGTGGCGGAAATTTGCCATCGTGCGGTAAGCTGCAAATTTTTTATCATTGCGTAATGTTCGTTTTCAAATAATTGAATTTTAGTTCTTTTATTTTCTTCTATACGTTTCTTCTAGTGGCTTGAGATACTTTACGTTAGAGAACAATCTCATTCAGATGAGAAAGTTCGCAAACAATCGTGTAGTTTATGGAAAAGTGCTCATCGCTGATGACGCTATCAAAAAGTTCGATCTTTGCTTCTTTATTTTGCATAGAATCTCTTTGTTTACTCTGTCAGTGAAGTACTCACACACGAAAATCGAAAGCAAATATATGTAAGTGATCAAATCTGTGATAATTCAACAAGCAATCCTTGACAGACCGCGAACACATGAGAAGTCGTGAAAAACACATGCATTTTGGCTTGCTTTTTCACAAAGAATATGTTTTCACTATTTCCGAAACAAACAAACCAGTTAGAAATTTACAATTTACAATTTATAAGCCTGCAAAGGAATCTTTGAGCTTATATTTACACTTGCTTCATACGAATAAGGACAAATTATGATAATGTTGGCACTCCTGCAGGTGGACAAAAAGTCACCGAAATAGGGCATGCTTCGCGAAAGTGAAGATTTCCGTGTTTGTCGTCTATAGAAAAAGTAATAGTCGTCTTTTATCTCAATACGTTCGTGCGATCCCGCGTTTGATTCACTCGAAATTCGTTGTTTTTGTATGAAGAGTCAAATTTTTCTGCATTTTTTGTAGTACGCCGACGACCGTACTCTCAAACCATTTGGAACTTTATATAATGCACACCATACGCGTTAAATGACGACATGTATAAATAGAACCTGATCTTTTCCAGCAGATTCTTCTTGGTTTTTTTTACTATCGGTTTGATTGGATAAGCATCAGATAGTAGTACACATTTTAGTACATTGCCACGCTAGAAAATGTTTTATTAAGGGCCTACCAATGAGAATGTCGTCATTTATCAAGAAAAATAGAGAAATTGTTAACCAATCTCACTTAAAAGTTCAAAACGACGAATGCGAAGCTCTACGATAGGACCAAATACAAGGATGTACAAGGAAGATAAAAAGAACCTTCGTTAGCACAATGCGATGATCAAATGTGCTTGACATTGAATCGTTAAGTAAAAGACTCATTGCCATCAATGACAGATCATAGTTTGATTGGCGTAGGTCAAGTTTTCCGTATTTGGGTGGTATTTCGCTTCGCCGAAAGTCAATCAAGAGGCTTATTCAGATCATCACGCTCACTAAGATACAATATTTGTGAAAACTTCTCAAAATCAGATTTTCTATTTGAACACCACTATCTTATGAAAAATTATTACAAATATTATACATCAACATTCACTTCATTGATGAACCCGCTTCAGTTATTCAAGGCTGTATAAAACATTACACATTCACACAGCAAATATTACAAACACATCTACAATCTATAAAATATGGAAAGAACATGAAATATTCTGGTCCAACCTGGATCGCCTGTAGTTTTACAGACCAAAAAGGACTAGAAAGAGATCACAGAAGTAAAAGAATCTTCATATCATCAAATAGGAAGTAGGAAAGTCCTATAGAGCAATGATCTGAGTACTAATAAGCCATTCATTGTGTACAGAAGATCAAAAATCCTCTCAAAAATACGCAGGTTAGATCAATGTATGGTCAGCTCATCTCAACTGACTAAGAACTGCACATTTCAGATTCCATGCGCTGTTGGGTCTTTATATGATCAGCTTAGGGATGAGGCAGTCTCAGGGATGGGCGGAAGGGCTAAAAAACACGAAATTATTGCTTTTTTTAAATGATTACAAAACACAAGGATACGTCATAGCTAGAATTCCGCGAATTTTCAACCGAAGTCAGCCAAAAAGCTAAAGGCCTACCAGAACGAAGTGATTTGCACATTGATTTACAGTTTTTCACTCTAATCATTGAGGGCTTTACCGTTTGTTCTTTCGATGAAAAGAAAACTTACTTAAGAAATCCGGAGCATCATGCCTTTGTGGACTCAAAGATCCAAACATGGTTGATGCTTGTCGGCTACATAAGCTAAAATCCGAAAATCCTCGACCTGGATGAGGAACGGCGAATTTTCTCTAAAGACACAGTGACAGCGATGTGACTTGGTAATGAGGTGCATTTGCGTACCTTGCAGAGGTTGGGCTCAAATCTCGAGGACATGTTCCGCGCCGTTCGGCAAACGGAGATTCAAAAGAGACAGCAAATGGTGATTGCCCATTGGGTGAAGTTCGCTCTGAGAGCTGCAAAGCATGCGAATGGGACAGTCCCATAGTATGGAAGAAGGAGAAAATTTGGCTTTCTCATTCTGACTATATGGAAGCACCCCTTCGCCAGTACCTTTTCTACGCAGCCGTGATCGAGAAGCTATTATCAAGATCTTGCTTACTAACCCAGAAGAAAACGCCGAAGAGCCAATAGATTTTCTTGAAGCTTCCGCCTACATTCTCATTTTAGTCGGAGGAATAATCCACGCTTATTACAGACAATTTGCACTTTTCAAAGAAAGAGTTTTGATTAGGGTGTGCCCTCTAAAATGTCCGCCAATTGCCAATTGCTATGTCCGTTTACTATTTAAAAAAAGACATGCGTCATGTGCATGGCCCGGTCATGGAGATGAAATCAGGTATGCCATAATTAGAAGCTCAAAAAGAGAGGTGATGGCAGATGACAAGATATTTCACATCACTGCATCTCAGGTTTTTATAAAGAACCATTGCTATATCTAGAAGTATTGAATCCAACGTCACAGTTAATTAAGTGCTTCTGTAGGAAAAATAAGAACAATATGGTTACAGATGTTGAAATAAGGGCGAAACTTATATAATTAAAACTATCGTAATATTCTGTATCTTTTTGGCAATTACATTCTAACTATCATTTGTTTCATTATATTCCCGCGAGAAGAAAAAATAGTTTTGCGTAACAGAAAGTTTTTTCTAAACTCTTAGCCATCGCAAAAAATTTTAGTGACTCCGTCTATCAAAATAATCTTGGACTAATCAAGTATAGGAAAAATTGGTGAGTTTGCTAACACACAAGCACTGTAAAAATAACTTAATGAATAGTAAATAATTAACAAAAATAAATGAGTTTTCAAACTCGTCTCAAAAATCTTCCATAAAATCAAACTAGACGCTCTCTCTTTACTGAAAGGTCCCAAAGCGGGGTTAGATCTTGAACACCGTCTGAGGAAAGGGACGAGTAAAACATTTGAAATTATCTCTTTGTAATGAATAAACCTCTAGCGTTGAAGTTTCAAAAGCGCATGGAAACGTCCTACAAATTTTGCGTAAGCACAAAAATTTAATAAACTTTCGACAAAGAACCGTTTCTTAAAATATGTTGTGATCGATGCTTCACATAACCAACAAGAAAAAAAGACGGAGGGAGGGGCGAAAGGCAGAACGGGATTTCAAATTTTGCTTACATTCAAGAACCCCACCTGCACATCCTCCTCCTCTGACTCGGCAATCTCCTCGAATGAGCACGTCATTGGAATTCGATCATCTCGTCGTATCAACTCAGATGGTCGAACTTCGGTGCTGAATTTGTGAAACAGCGTCAATGGTGGCTGTTGTGGATTTGCGGTTGTCATCTGTAATTACGGACTTATGTAACAACTATCGTTCACGTGATAATACCGCTGCGCGAACAGTGACAAAAGCGAGGTGATGAAAGATGTCTCCATTATTTCAAAAAGATGGTGTGAATTCTGAATTCATTGAGGTTAATAATTGTCAATACTCATATGGAGCAGGCCAAAAATGAAGAGCTGGGAATTTTTTTCTACAAATTTATAGAATTACTATGAATTCAATACATTACTGGCAGCATGGAAATATTACGGTAAAATACGGTACTTACATAATTTGTAAGGTACTTATGGTGTATACGTAGGCTAAATGAGGCGATGGCTAATGCAAGATAGACATTTATAAGCATAAATTTTATTTGAGGGTAAAATTCTTGTTCTATGCATCTGTAAAATTGCACAGTTTTCTTTTACAAAATGTAACGGGGAGTTAGACTAGCTGCATACCAAAGGGATCAGATTCAGAAGTGATGTCAAAATTTCATATATAGCATTCATTTATACATCACGTTACAACACAGAACGATCGCTACACCATAAAAAGATAATGCCCCATAATGAAATACTGGTTCCTGCCTATACGTTGAGCGATGCATCATATTTACTTTGACATCCACTCCAAAGTACGGATTCTGAGTGTGAATGGTGCAAGTATTGCAGGAAAGGCTATAAATTATAAATCAGCGCCATAAATCAGCTGACTGTTTGCAAAAAGCGATCATTTCGAAACGGATGATCGATGACTATTGGTAATTCGACAGAAATCATCAGATAGTGCTTTGGTGCTTCAGAGAAGAAACACAGACGGGAATTGCCTTCATAGCGCAGGAAATCAAAGACGACGAAGAAAGAACATCACGAGAAGCAGAATGTGGTCTAATATTTGCTACTCCTGATAGTGACAGGAGAATCCATAAAAATTTCGTATCAGCTACGTGCCTCTGAATTCAAGACAAACTCAAGGAACATATGGGGGTGTAGAAGTACCTTTTGTTTAACGGCATTGGCGGCTGGAGGGCGGAGCTTCGATGCTCAATCAAAGCTAAAGACTGATCAAAGAGCACGGTAGCGAGGAAGACGCAGACTGCATAGCGGGCGCGAGCGGTCGCCTTCTAGCCGCCAATCTCGTTGAATCAAAGGGTATCAGAGGATCTCATATAACTTGTTCATTGAAAATTAGCTTCGAACAGCAGGGAGAGCTCAACGATATAAAACGCAAAAAGGCTTCCAAACATAGTTCCTCCCCTAAAAGAGCACTCGTTCAACAAAAATAAACAAAACAAGAAGTTATGTTATGAAGGAAATCTTTCGATCTTTCGATTTATGTAGGCCACGCCCATTTTGCCACGCCCCCGGAAGAAATGTCACGCATTAGAAAAAGAGAGTTGTCATGTGGAACAGAGAACACTCTTTGAAGAGCGTACGGCATAATGGAGCTAGAACTCTTTAGCAGCGGCTGACATGCTTTGAATTTCGAAGAAATCTAAACCTTCATCTACAAATCCTTGATGACTTGAGCTTTTTCCTCTATTCTGATCTCAAAGTCACCTAACAAAATTCAAATAGCTGCTTTAATATTGACATCAAATTGACAGCATCCCCAGTTTCAGTGATCCAGCAACCCAGCAATTTTTGTGCAATTACGTACTCTAGCGAATGACTGGAAGCCATTCTTATGTGATAATATCTCGGTGATGGTATAATTTGATGCAAATGGCATAGTCACACGCTGTATCGAGAGCTAAATTTTTGGACATGAAAGAGCTAACATTTCTTTGTTGTTTTAAATTTGGCGTGTTCCAGCATTAAAGATAAAAATCTCGAATAGTCGAAGAAGGGAAGGGGGAAGAGCACAGTAATGAACGGGTCCAGCAAGATCACCGAAAATGTTCACATGATGACGGCAGACCATAAACATATGTCAAACCCTTTGTGCTACAGTTGCTATGATTTATGCATCTATGAAAGAAGACAGTTTTTGTTTTGAGTTTGACGTGAAAAACGCGCATCGTTTCTTATTAAACTAGGATAATGCTTGTGAATCCCTATAAGGTTGACTTCGTAGGCAGAATGATGCCAAAGGATCTAAAGCATTGGAAGTGTCGAGGCGGGAGGTTTGTGAGTCTTAAGTACGTTTGAGTGATACGTAATAACGACGATTTTTCGATTTATCCTCTATAGGCCACGCCCATTCTGCCAGGCCCTCGAGGTTAATGCCACGCAAAAACAGGGGGTCGTCATATGGAACAGAGAACACTCTGCGAGGTTTTATGATATAATGGCTCCAGACAATTTAACAATGTTGGAACAAAAAATCATAAAACTTTATTCACATTATCTACACCCAACATCAAAGCTAAAAGATACGACTGCCGGAGGAGTTGAGGAGGGTGAGATGGGGCAGGGTTTGTTAAGAGGGCTGCTTTACTTGCCAGTGGACATAACTTAGCGCATTTTTGGTGTTCAATAATGTTCCAAAGGACTTTTGAATTTTTGAGGAGATATGCAAAATCGTTATCAAGACTGTTCAACCTGATATCTCGCACTAGATTCAAAACATGAATGCTAAGGTTCCAAATGTTGCAAAAATGCAACTAATCGCAAATCGTGAATATTTAGATCAATTTTCATTAAAAGCCGTCAAACTTAGCAATAGTGACTTCAAATAGTCAGTAAACTATAGCACGTTGTCTGTTATTTCTCAAGATTCGCGTAACTCTGAACTGGGCTGTTGTATCGGTGACCTCCGGAGAAATCACGCCTCTTGACCGCACCCCCGGGGAAGGGGAGAAGACAGTAAAGAACGGGTCCAGCAAGACCGACGAAAGTGTACAGATGATGACAATAGGTCATAAACCATGTGACACACCCTTTGCGCTACAGTTGGTATAATTTATGCATAATTTGTGAAAATAGACAGTTTTTGACGCACACATACATCCATTAGGAGTTCCATTGTACGTCTTGGCACGTCTCATAGACCAAACTTTAAACTTTGAACCGAGTTCTGTTAGATTATATGGGTAACACATGACATTAGTATCATTCGGAAAGATGTTATGTGATTAAGATTTTATGTGTTCCAGAAAGTAGTCAAGGATACGTTTGTAACTAGTTCACTTTGATTGCTCATTCCAAACCTTTTGGCGAATATTTAAGCAATGTCTGATATTCACTCAGTTTTTGCACAAATAAGTCAAAGCAATCCATAGGTGAACAACCATTACCTCACGAGACTGTAGAAGATAATCTTTGGAGCTATCGGTGGAAAAATTTTTACATTTTCAGTTTACGACCTATTCCAAAAAAACTAGAAGACCAACCTAGCCGAGCCAAGACCTAGTATCGATAGCTGCCCGCTGGCAAATCATATCTAAATTTTTTGGGCTTTCATTAATGCATGGTCGTTGAAAAAGAAAGTAAGCACATGCGGAAGAAGACGAAACGTGTCGTTGAGCTCTGAATTTCTTGCATTCAGAGAAAGAATTCGAGAGAGATGATTAACTTCACAAAAACATGATGCGAATAGGAACTGGCTGAAACCAGATGTAGACAAAGCTTATTCTAGATTCACCTTGACGGGGTGAAAAAAGTCTTTCTTTTATCATTGTCAAATGACACTGACCGCTCCCATCAGAGAACCAGACCAATTTCTTCTACAAACCGTCTCCACAAATAATATCACTGACTGTCTAGTGTGACCCATTTCTACATTCTCTGTGTACGAATAAAAAACGGGAAGAATTGTCTTATGATGCGAGAGCGGACTTTTGCATGAATTGAAGAAAATAATAGATGGATGAGGAAAAAATGACGAAACGGTTGATCTTTGACGTAATTGCGCCGCAAAGACCATCATATAGGTTATGTTTGAAGAATATGTCAGAGTTTTGAGACCAAATTAATATTTAAGAACTTCGACATTTTGACCTTTCTCTAACGAAAAAAAAGCTGTTGAGACGTACTGAGAACTTAAAAAAGCAAGATGTTCGTCAACATGGCTGACATTTTGATTCTGGGTTGTTTTGGCTTTGAGTGTGCAAAAATGCAAAATTCACACGAATGAATGATTGGAGAACTCCATGGAAAACAAGGAAGAGGAGCTTTGTTTTGGTAAACGATAGAAATGAGCATAAAAGAAATTCAGCAGATAAGCAAAAAAAAGACATATAGCTTTGAACTTAGACTTCTTGCAGCCTTCGAAACTTCTTTGTTTGGGATACTAGATAAATCAAGAAAAAAAGAATTATTTTGAGATTATTTTTCTAATTACATCCTCCATGAAACATCTTATATATAAAGCTGAATATCTGTTTGTCTGTCTGTATGTCTGTATGTCTGTATGTCTGTATGTCTGTATGTGTGTACGTATGTTCCGAATAGAAAATTCCATTTCTGAACCGATCCGGACCAAACTTGGCACACATACGCTACGGGCCCCGGCGGGTGTCATAGGCTACTTTTCGTCATCGATCGATATCGATTTTATCGATTTTTATCGATTTTTTTGCTGAGTTCACCTACGGGGCTGGGAGTTGGCACAGGGGGGTAATCGAGCATGGGGATTCCGAATACAATATTGGTTTTCAGGATTATCGATTACTTTTATCGATTTTATCGATTTTTTTGCAAAGTTTGAGCTAGGGGGCTGGGAGTTGGCACAGGGGGGTAATCGAGCATGCTGATCATCCCCAAGGGGGGTGATCAGCATGCTCGATTACACCCCTGTGCCAAATTCCAGCCTCCTAGCTCAAATTTTCAAAAAATCAATAAAATCGATAAAAGTAATGGACGATCCTGAAAACTAATATTGTGTTTGTAATCAGCATGCTCGATTACCCCCTGTGCAAAATCCCAGCCTCGCATGTCAAAATTTACAAAAAATCGATAAAATCAATAAAAGTAATCGATAATTCTGAAAACTAATATTGTATTCGGAATCCCCATGCTCATTTCCCCCCCCCCTGTGCC